GAGGCATGTGGAAGAGACCTAAGTCCAAATGGGGCACATTTGAGGCACATTTTTAAAATTAGAGTCCAAATGGGGCACATTTGAGGCACATTGACAAAATTAGAGTCCAAACGGGGCACATTTGAGGTATACTTTAAAAATACCCCAGAAGTAGAGGTACATTTTAGGCATGCCTAAAATGTACCTCGGGCCAAAGGTACATTTTAGGCATGAAAAAGGCATGAAAAAGGCATGCCTCAATGTACCTTTTTTTAGCCTGGGTTGTTACTAAGATACAGCTAGGTATTGTGCAACTAACAGATTCTAAGTAATCTTTAGTAGAGCATGTATGTAGCATCTGATATGGATCTCATTTTTTTTTAAATATAGTTAAGGGTAATATGTAATTATATTAATACCAATGAGTTTATTTCCATTGTCACTACGGGTAAATATTTTTAAAATACTTTTTGAAGGAAGCATTCCATATGAATCACTTGAATTGCCATGCTTTTTACAGAAATGGAAAAGTACACTTTAGTTGTACATGTGTGATCAAAATATGAATGTTTGAAAATAGAAATAAAGAAAACAGAAAATGTAGAGGGTTGAACTCATGAGCAGGACCTTTAAATTGCCAAGCTTTTACAGAGGAAATTTTTTAATAGATTTCTCACATATATAAGTTAATCATTTGCTTTGAGCCACACCTGTTAGAAGGCAAATGCTATCAGCCTATCACCATATATTCTTGCCAACTTTTTGAAAATTCCAAGGGGGGACTGTGTATGCTCAAAATTAAAACATAAATAAAAAAAGAATGTGCATTCCCCCTAGAGTCAAAATGACCCTTTTAATGGCATATTTTGAGTTGTTTCTTCTGATGAAATTTTTAGATCTTAGAATATGGGAATAGTTTAGCAAATTCACAGACTGAAATTGCTAATTATATAAATTTACGGGTCCAAAATCGGGAGTTGCTAAGTATACTCCCAAAATCTGGAGTCTCCTTCTAGGGAGAGATGGCAAGTAGTTGTATCACCGTATATATATATCACACTTTTGACATGTTAAGGTGGTGAGTAATGTGAAGAACTGAATTAACTTTACTATAAGGTATTATACTGCATGTAATAGAAATGACGTTTTACCTGGCCGACTAGTAAAGTTGGGCATATCCTGATCATCCAAAATCCTTAAGGTTCATTTGTCATGCGTAACAACAAAAGACATGAATAGTTAGTCAGATATTTAGAAGTATATATACCTGCACCAGACAACATTAAAATTGTAATGTAAATTAAAATGATGTGTTTTGCCTGCATATATATTCCTTGGGGGCATATTTGTAGAAAAGTTGTTTATATTTAACTGTCAAGCCAAGAGGTATGTTAAGCTTTTATGATTGAATGTATCTGTGTTATTCTATTGTTACCTGTATATTTATTGTAGCTTCAGGAGTTATTTTACAACACTGATAAGATGAACTTATTTTGTGTTCTGTAGGAGAAAAAGTATTGATGTCAGTGTTAGCAGACCCTAACTTTGTGGTGGGATGCCAGCCAGCAGCTACTGTTGTACATGTGTGTACTGTAGGTGACTGGTCATCATGAAGTGGGCACATGATATCTGGCTAGAATTGTAAGTATGATCACACTGCAATATTTACGTTAGTGTAGACTACAAACTTCATTAAATAAAACATGTACATTTGTTGAAAGTGATTTCCAATGTTTGTTTACTAAATTATACAGTTAGTGAAAACTCATGTCCGATGATATTAGTTTGTGTCAGTATATATATATGTACAGGTTCTTGTGTGTAAATGATTTGTATACGGCAGGTTTTACTGTCAGCACACAAATAAACGTACCTATTTACTTGCGTATCAGTATCATTGATATCTGTCTGTCAACAAGGTGGCCGGCATGTTATCAGTGTCACGGCTTCTCTAGATGAAGAGGTGAGGAGGTCAACAATATTCATACATGTATAGTGTATACTGAACAATATACTCATTATCGATGGTCCTTGATTCATTTATAAATGGAATAGGGATGTAAAACCCAATCATTGAATCCAGGAGTGTTTTGAGTGGATTAATTAAGAGGGGGTCCAGGACAGGGCCTTGGTAGTGGGACAAGGGGGTACTGCAAGCAGTGCTTTTGTTGTTTCACCTGCATATATATGAGTGAATAGCTAGGCAGGTACACGTCTGGTATCTATAAAAAAAAAACTGTAGTTCAAACATTTCGGTGTAACAAAAAGATTTTAGATTTTTTTATCTGCATGATCCATGGCTATAATTAAGTTACTATGCTGTATTTACAGATATATTATTCAAATAATTTATAAGATTTTCATTTGCATGGCATTGTCACTAGATAAAACCTACTTAAAAGCTGTGTCATTGATGAGACTTTAAATTTTACATGCATAACGAGACACAATGCTTTGCTAATGAGCTAGACAATACACTATTCCAGTTATTGAACAAGTTTGTGCAGACTGTCGATAAGACAGGAATTGTAAATTATAAATGTTATTAGTAAAAAACAAATACGTGAAAGGCGGAGAGGATGTAAATATAAGCATTGAAATGTTTTCATATGGCATTTATGATATAAATTTGAATGACACACCTTTGCAAGCAAACAAGTAATGATGCGCTAGCACGCAATATGTTTTTTGTTTGCAAAGCTGTGTCATTCAAATAGGTAATAAATGTCATACAAAAACAGTTCAACGCTTAGTTGATTCACTTTAAAGGTCATATATGTTCAAATAGCGTAAAAGGCTAGAGGTAATGTTATTTGATCTGTAGCCTGCTAGGATAACGGTCTTTGATATTTGTTCAAATCAATGACCTTGACCCACTTTCAAGACAAATGGTCAAATGTGTTTGAAAGTTAAACAATTTGTATTTTAGATATTCAGGAGGCGTGGTATTTTATCTGTAGCAGGCTAGGATAAAGGACTATAAAAACGTTTTTCAAATGAGTGACCTACAAATGTAGATCCACTTTCAAGGTTACAGACCATGTAAAATTGAATAACCAGAGGCCTTGCTATAGGGTGATCATGATATTTAGCAAGATGCAGGCATGGATGAATAGGCAAATATGGAAAAAAACTGTAAAAATGTAGTTTAATTTCTATCAACTTTATGTAAATAACTTTGACCTAGACCGATTTTAGAGGTCACAGATGTGAGATGTGTTTGAGACTTTATTGAATGGAAGGCAAGTGATAACCACAATCCAGGGTTTATTGGGCCTCTAGCTCTTGTTATCATATTCTACTTAACAGTTTGTAATGTGCATAATTGTACATTGCACAACAAGAAATAAATGTCAATAATGTAGAATATTCTGAGAAATAAGTCGGAGCCCATCTTTAAAATGCTTATTGTATTTTGCAGGAAATTGAACAGCCAAGACAATCCCTTCATTTCCCTGATGGCATTGGTAATTGCTAGGTGATTTCTCGGTATTACTGCCTCCTGTATTGGGTGAGAAGATGAGGTCCGACATAAACTCAACAACTTTATCCAGTGCAGGGATGGAGAGTAGCGTGTCCATTGACAACCTGTACCCTGCCATTATCCAGTGCTTTGTCATCATCCTGTCGGGCTATATCGCTGGACGAGTTAGCCTCATCTCTGCAGCACAGAGTCGAGGGATAGGGCTTTTTGTGTCAAACTTCTGTCTCCCATCTCTCCTGTTTAAAAACATGTGTATACTTGACTTCAGCGTTGTGAACTGGTTGTTTTTGACCAGTATATTGATATCAAAATCTGTTGTTTTTTTCTTGGTGGTGTTGGTGACGTTGGTTGCTAAGCGACCTCTAAATTACGGCTATGCAGGAATGTACGGAATATTCTCCACCCAGAGTAATGACTTTGCTCTTGGCTACCCCATCAGTAAGTATCAATGTTTTAGAATTATTGTTACAATTCTATTATAAGTACACTATATGAAAATTTCTTCATCTCAATAACCAAGAGGCCTAGGGTGATGACATTTGGCCAGTAGCATGCTGGGATGAAGGGCTACCAAGTTGTTCAAATGATTGACCTTGACAAATATTCAAGGTCACATGGGTCAGATATGTTTAAAACCTTAAAACAAATTCTTCTGAATAACCAAGAGTCCTACGGTTATAATATTTGGCAAGTAGCATGCTGTGATGAAGGGCTACCAAGTTTGTTCAAATGAATGACCTTGACTCATATTCAAGGTCACAGGGGACGTCAAATATGTTTAAAACCTTTAAACAACTTCTTCTGAATACCTAAGAAGCCTAGGATAATGATATTTTGCCAGTAACATGCTGGGATAAAGGGCTACCAAGTTTGTTCAAATGAATGACCTTGACCTATATTCAAGGTCATAGGGGTCAAATATGTTAAAAAAATAAAAAATACTTGTGAACAACCAAGAGGCCTAGGATAATGATATTTGGTCAGTAATTTGCTCAGATGAAGGGCTACCAATTTTGTTCAAATGAATGATCCTCGCCCAATTATGTTTTTAAATCTTAAAATGACTTTTTCTGTGTAACCAAAAGGTCCAGGGTAATGATATTTTTCCAAAAGCATGTGTGGTTGGAAGGCTATAAAGTCTGTTCAACCTAATGTCCTTGTTCGACATTCAAAGTCACAGGAGTCATATGTTTAAATCTTTTAATAGGTTCTTATTAATCAAACACTGATATTCTGCCTGTGGCTGTATTCTAGTCCACTTTTAAGATAACAAGTGTGAGATTAATACCAGGTGAGTGATTCAGGCTATTTGGGCCTGTTGTTTACAATATCCAAGACGATAACCATTAAAATTTTGATTTTAGTTTTTCAAATAATTCAGGTAAATGTAAATGTGTAAAGCTTAAACTGCTGTTTTGTAATATAATATGTTTGTCCTTGTAATTACAGTCAAGTCACTGTATCACTCCAATTCTTCATATTTAACACAATGACATATCTTTCTCCTTACAGTCCAGGCCCTGTATGGGAAGTCCCATCCTGAGTACCTGAAGTACATCTACTTGATAGCTCCAATCTCTGTGGTGTTCTTGAACCCCATTGGGTTTGTTTTGTTGGAGATACAGAAACGACGTGTCCAGTCTGCGAAAGATTCCTCGGGAGGTCATGCCCTCGGAAGGGAAGGCGAGTCGTTGCTAGGCAATGCCGCATCAACCCAAAGGAAGCTTGAGGCTACCCCTCACACAAGCACAGCAATGGTAGTCATGCATGTAATCAAGGGAGTCATTTCAAATCCCATTGTCTTTATGACCATCATTGGGATTATTGGGAACTTCGTCTTCAAGCACGAACTCCCTGCGGTCTTGGACGGCCTTCTGACTACTCTTGGTGAGTGTTGTCATTTTAGTGCAAATTGTCAACTTGAAATATCAACTTTCAGGTATAACTTAAAGTAAGATATCTTATGATATGTTGTTGCTTTTTAGGCCATAATGGATATAATCATCAGAATCGTAAGGACTCATTTATTTGAGTTCTGGTTGACTCATATATATATAGCGATAAATATAAATAAAACAAAACACGAAGACTAGTATAATCCGCTAGCATGTTCGCCCATCTTAGGACTCTTCAGGCGATTTAAAGTTTAATTTAGTATATATATATATCTTTTGGAATGGAACTCATCAAATTTTGAAAGAAGATGGTCAAGACTCGCTGCAAAAAATTATCTGAAATCACTGATAATGTGTTGTATATGTAACTATATACAGGGCACGTCTACTGTGTGTTAGGGCTTTCACAGACTGTGTAGTATAAGAGGGATAATTGGTTATAATTATATAATGAGTGTCCAATTGGAATTACGTACCAATATTATTAAGGCCGTAGAAGTGAAATTGAGTTAAATATTTCAAACAGCAGAATTATTCTAAAAAACAAATATGCCTAGAATGGTGATTAAGGGCTATCAATTACATTCAAACATATCTTATTGACATTAAACAGTCATAGGGATTTGGGCACAAGTTTTCACAACTTAATTTCTAGGCCCTCTCCAATTAATGGCTATCAATTAAAGTTCGTTAAAATGAATATCTTTTAAATCAACACTATTGTCCCGATATAACTTATGTACTAGTACTGGATACGTTTTATACATAAAAGGAAATGCGACATTACTATTTAAATTATTACTGTATACCAGGAAATGCTCTCCCTGACAGTATTTCACCCTTCACCTATGAAATCAATTTTTTGCCAATGTTAATTTTGCCCTTAACATGTAACTGATAGGTTTGTTATGCTATTTACTTTTATTTGCTGTATAATAAAATTGCCCTCATTATGGAAGACAAAAAAGGCAAAAAATTCAACTGCAGCGAACATTTTCCAATATACAGTACTGGTACAAAAAGCATGATAAGAAGAGCATTACAGACACTGTGAGCGTCTTTTGTCCTAACCTTTCCATTATCTAACATTATGCCTATATGTGTTCTAATTGTTTTGTACCATATATGTGTAGGTGATGCCTTCAGTGCTACAGCCTTGTTTTACCTAGGCCTCAGTCTGGTAGGCAAGGTATCCGGGTCAGTCGGCATAGGTCTGCTGTTACCTCTACTTCTCATAGCAGCTAAGGCGTAAGTGATAGATCACTGTATGGAGAAAGATCTTACTTTTTTGTATGCTTAACATGGCAAAAAAATACTTCAAAAAAAATCAGAATTGGAACACAGTGCAAAATAGAAGAAAAAACACCATGAAATAACTTGATATTGTGCAAAAGAAAACAAAAAGAAAAAGTGATTCAATTCCATTTTTTAAAGGCAAGATCAAAGTTGAGTGATCATGTCATTTCAAACTATGAATGTATGAATTTGTAATTGATCTGATCAGGTCAGTCTCAGTAAGCTTACTGTTGTGATAGATTAACTTATCAAAAAGATGTTGAATTGTTTTTCAGACTGGTGTTACCATTGGTAATATGGCAGATTGTAGGTGCTATGGAGAGGACATCTACAGCCAATAACAGCGATCCCAACAGCACTATATCACTGAGCATGTATGGATTTCTCTATGGTACATTCCCCACTGCACCTTCTGTGTTCTTGTATGCCAGTCAGTACTCAATTGCCCAAGAAACGGTGAGATATTATGGTTGAGTTTAGTCCGCTAAAACTTATCATAATCACATGCTCCAGAATTCTTATTGGTTGCCTGCTTATGGTCAGCTATCGAATGCTCAATAAAACTTGTGGGTTTGCAAAACTCTGGCAACAGCGATTGTGAGAGTTTTACATGTTTGTTAGAGAAAAGATATACTACATGTAGTCATTCACTTGTCTAGAGGTCATGTCTCAACTCGATGCATTATGGACTTGCTAGTTGCTACATCGTTTTATTCAATCCAGGTGAAATTAAACTTTTGTTTGTCCGGCAATCTCCTCCTCCATTTTTCGACTGATCTCTTTGAAACTTAGTAGGCTAAATAATCATGATATTTTGTTGTGTTTCCTTGAAAAGAATTTTGATTCAACAATTTTTGCCAAAGTTATTGCCCTTTGTTTATTTCAGTATTTGATTTTTGTCCAGCAATCTCATTCCTGCTTTTCTGAACAGATCTCTTTGAAACTGGGTATACATTATTATCATGATATGACACTGTTTCACCCTGAAAAGAATTTTGATTCAACGATTTTTGCAAAAGTTATTGCCCTTTCTTCATTTTCTCCTACATTTTTTATAGCATGTCAGCTAACCACTCTTAGAATGATGCAGATCTTATTTCAATGTAAGAAAGGATATAACACTATATGGCATTGGACGGGCGTATATTGTTCCGCCCCGCGGTACTCTTGTTTATAGAGCAGTCGATAGCTGATCATAAACAGGTGACCAATCAGAATTTTGGAGCCTGTGATTATGATCAGTTTTAGTGGACTAGGTAGAGTAGTCAGTGCTCGGTCGCCTTAGAAACAGTGACACATTATTGTAGGTTTTCTGAAAATGTTCTTTCCCCTTGTAAATAGTTTCTGACTACAACCTGTAAAATGATGTTACAATTCAACATTGCTACAGAATTTTGATGTCATTGATCTCCATGGGAAAATTTGTTATAAACAGGATATTTGAGGTCATTGATTAAGGAAACAACTGAATTAATTGCTTAAAATTGGAGGAGGCCCAAAATATTCTTCTGATCAATATTGGATAAGAATGATGTGCATTAAGAAGAAAGCTTATAATTAGTGTACATGTGTGATTCAGGTCGCGACAGGGATGGTGGCTGGGACATTCTTCTCTGCTCCGATGATGTTCATGTCAGCTAAAATGTTGACTGTGGTGGTCAACAGTGAGATGGACTACAAGACGTTGCTGTTGGAGACATCATTTGATACCAGCATCATTAGTGTTGTCTGCTGTGTAAGTTATTTAGTGATTTCCTTGAACAAATTGAACATGGCACACATGTTTTTCGTTTTGGACTCCCTTCAAAAGAGACTGCAATACACAAGGTGCCAGTGCATGAAAATATCAGTAATACAGAATGCAATTGTATTTTATTGGGTGAATTTGTCAGATCCATATTACAAAGGTGATAGTACAGTACACTGATGACATCATTACTTAGTTTAAGTACTCTTCATTTACTTTAATATACTTCCCTTATTCTGAGCCTCTATCGAAAAATCTACAAGATTCAACCCAATCTAAAATATCTCTACAGAGCTAATGTTTATTGTTTAACATACACAACTTTAAATAAATCTTCATGTATCTTGTAACCTACATGAAGTTCCTAATAACGAACGCAGAAGACAACAATGGCACGTCAACCTGATCATTCCTACTATAGTGTTATTGTTTTATATATATTATTTAAATTTTCAGCATAATGAAATATTTATTGCCCGTGCAATAGGGAATCACGATTCTTTGTTGCTCCTTGATTAATTGTGTTTCACACATTGCCCTTGTGGAGCATGATTAACTTAGGAGAAACAAAGAATTGTGTTTCCCTTCAGAAAGGGCAATAATATAAGACTCTTTCATGCCCAGGGGTGTAGGATACCAAGTTTGGTAAAACCAGAGAAATTTCCTACACCCCTTTCTTACCCTGGACAGCTCTATCTTACACACAGGGAAATGAGAGAAATGTATATTATTGCCTCTAGATGTGTCTAATACCAGTGAGAAATTTAATTATACATTTACTTTATCCACGCTGCATTAGTTTCTGTTTGTAAGAAAGCTTGTGGAAATAGTTATATATATAATATTTTCAACCAATCAAACATTAACAACTATGGGATCCCTTTGGAAGATTTAAATTTTAATTAAATATTTTATTTAGAAACAAGGAACATGTTATGTAATATTTTTTATATAAATAAATATTTATAATTTATATCCACAGGTTTGGGTGCTTGGAATCCTATTATTTAGTAAGAGATACAAGAAGATGCCACACCAGTTTCTTGTCTGCCTTGTTTTTTCACATGTAAGTGGTCGCCTACATTTCATTATTGTACTGTTGTGCCTCTAAGATTCTCATTGTCCCGTTGAAGTTTTTTTTCTCTTTACTCATATTTGTCACTGATTATCCACTTGGTGACAAACTTAGGTTATTTACATTGTAAATGTATTATATCATGTGATTGCACTGACTGAAGTTGTCTTCCCTTTGATTATTTTTTCATCTACTGTAGAAAGGGGCATAGAATAACATTATCAATTACAATCTTGTACCAAATATTGTTTTGATTTGACGATGTTAAAATGATGTCTTTGATCTGGTTGGCAGCTGTTGTCCTGTGTTGGTATGATTATTTACAATGGTCAAGACTGTGGTCAGTTGTCATGGAAACACTATCTCCAGTTTACACTGATCCTGGTCGGAGTGTTTGCCACCCGTTGCTGGACTGCTGTGATTTCTCTGACACTTTACATGCTCCATTGTCGTAGTTTGTGTTCTGTTCTACGCTTCAAGGCCTGGATGTATCTGTTTGGGTTTGGGTAAGTACGTAAACGATCACTTAAGTTATACTATATATCTATAGCTTCTAACATGTCCAACATGCAGGAAGTATCAAAATGGTGATGCCAAAGTTTAGATACCAATATACTGGACACATTGTATATCCAATTCATTGAAGAAGAAATCCTTGATAAGTTCAAAAAGGTTATAATTTGAATTACCTAAATTTGTATTTGACACTGATAATACTAAATTTCCATTTACTGTAAGTCATTTATTTCACATGAGATTAAATATTAGCAAATTCAAGTCTTCTTCAAATATCAATTCCATGAATAAATATAATGATTGTCTTCTCAGTCATGAATTAAATAAATCACAAATAAATTCTACAAGCATATATCCCAAAAAACAGTACATACAAGAAATATATGTTGTTTTCTTATTGGCATGCTGTCATTGATATTATTGTAGCTATATTGAATTTGAAAACAAAAATTGATTAAATGTGTATTACATGTATACTGAACAAAAAAGAAACGCACAATTAAATTATGCAATCAATAGCCTATGATATTTTGGGAAATTTGTACAAAATTTTATATTAATATGAAGGGACAAGTCTACTCTTTACAATACTGCAAAAGAAAAGTCTGTGTGACGTCACTCGTGTCATCAGTAGTTACTCAAAGTGGGATACCTGCGAAAAACAAAATGACACTTCAGTACCTGGTGTGGGCACCTTTTGCACGAATCCCTGCACGGATTCTCCTATGCATTGAATTCATGAGAACATTTATTTGCCTTAAGGGAATGTTGTTCCATTCTTGTGTTAATGCTGCGATCAACTGGGCGCGGTTAGTTGGGAGGTTTTGACGTTTCCTAATACGCCTGTCCAGCTCATCCCACAGATGCTCAATGGGAGACATGTCGGGGCTTTATGGGTGCCATTCCAGAGGCTGAACGTTGTTTGCTGTGAGAAAATAACGACAGACTCTGGCAACATGCGGTCGAGCATTGTCTTGCTGGAAAATTAGGTTATGAGGTCCGAGAAGTGGAAGGACATGTGGTTGGAGGATCTGGTCTCTGTATCGAACGGCATTGAGGTTTTGATCCAGGACCACTAAGGGGGATTTTACTCCATGGGAGATGCCTCCCCAAAGCATTACAGAAGCCCCACCGAATCTATCGCGTTCAACCATGCATGCGTCGGCGAAACGCTCACCGCGTCTGCGAAACGCTCACTGCGTCTGCGATATGCCCTTTTTCTTCCATCTGAGCGATACAGACAGAATCTAGACTCGTCAGTGAACATCACAAGCCTCCATCGACGCATACCAAACTTATTCGGGCTATGTCTGCGCATCCAGGCAAGACTCACTTGCCGCCTCAGTGGTGGCCCGAAATAAGGTCGGCGCGCAATGATTCTCTCAGCACGCAAGCGGTTCCTGGCAGTTTGAGGACTAATGGGTCTGCCATGAGTACCTAAGGTATGCGACGCAGTCTCTACAGCAGTCTTGAATCTGTTGCGCAAAAGGGACAATCAAATCGCCCTGTCTTGTCATGCCGTCGTTACACGCAGACGACCGCTCCTGGGACGATCGGAAACTAACCCAGTAGCACGGAAACGTGTACAGTTCCGGTTAATTGTACACGGGCCAACACCAAACTGCCGTGCGACAGCAGTTTGGCTATGACCATCCATCAACATCGCAATTGTTCTACCCCTCTGAATTTGCTTTAAGCTTTAAGCTTAATCTCAGTCAATGGCGAAATCATAATGCCAACATGGAAAATTAATGTGGCTGAACTTAGACTATCCGTTGAGATTATTTGTTTAAAAAACTCTGGCTTGGCTTGATAACGCCACATGATTTGGACTTAAGAAGCTCACAAAGTCACACAATGACATCGTCACACTTGGCTGATTTTAGGGTAGATTGTTGAGAAGGGAGGTTGTTCTTGATGTAATTAATACCTGACCAAATATTCCATTATTTCCTTACAGCTAAGGTGTACTGCAGGGGGGAACTTTGTGCATTTCTTTTTTTGTTCATTATACATGTAGGCATGTCTGTGAAATGATTGAACTTTCTGGTGTCTTTAGCTCACCTGGCCCTAAGGCCTAGGGCCAATTGAGCTTATGGCATGGTGCGGCGTCCGTCGTCCGTCCGGCGTCAAGTTTATCCAATAGGCCCAGGCTGATGATATTTGGCCAGTAGCATGCTGGGATGAAGGGCTACTAAGTTTGTTCAAATGAATGACCTTGGCCAACTTCCAAGGTCACTGGGGTCGGATGTCTTAAAATCTTCAAACGACTTCTTCTTCTTCTCAATAACCAAAAGGCCAAGGGTTATGAATGACCTTGACCCACTTTCAAGGTGACAGGGGTCAAATGTCTTAAAATCTTTTAACGACTACCTAATAACCAAAAGGCCCAGGGTACTGATATTGGGCCTGTAGCATGCTGGGATGAAACTTTGAAAGGCTACCAAGTTTGTTCAAATGAATGAACTTGACCCACTTTCAACCTAATGTCCTTGTTTGACATTCAAGGTGACATGCGTTATATGTTTAAATCTTTTAATAGGTTCTTATGAATCAAACACTGATATATATTCTGCCTATAGCTGTATTTTAGTCCACTTAAATTTTAAGATTACAAGTGTGAGATTAATACCAGGTGAGCGATGCAGGCCCATTGGGCCTCTTGTTTAGGTACCTGTAATCTGGTGTTTTTAAGGTTCTCTGTATTCTGTTTCTGGTGTTTTTTAGGTTCCCTGTATTCTGTTTCTGGTGTGTTTTAGGTTCTCTGTATTCTGTTTCTGGTGTTTTTTAGGTTCCCTGTATTCTGTACTGGGTTGCTGTTTATTTTGGGATCCCACCACGTCCATGATGAGATTGACCCCTCCTTCCACTACGGATCAGATCAGGTAAGTCACACGTTAGCCATTCTACCACTGGGGCCAAGTTGTTAATGCATCTGACATTCTGTTACCATTAGCCCTTCACCACTGGGTCGTGGGTTTGAGACCTACGTGGGGCAGTTTCCAGGTACTGGCTGTATGTCAGTGGTGTTTTTCTGGGAACTTAGGCTTTCCTCCAACACCAGAAACTGGCACGTCCTTAAATGACCATGGATGTTAATGGGACATGTGAGGCACCCCCGGTTCAGGGGGATTCAGTTTTGTATGATTTAAAATCTCAAATTATGACTTGACATACTTGAATTTCACTTTATTTGAGGTATCACTGATTAAAATGGATTTGATTAAGTACCCTCCTGTCAGAAGATCACAGGAGCAGGACTTTGTTATTTAATTATAGACATAGACTGAAGTATATTAAGTTTTTATTTATTGTTCCACTGATCAGTCAGTCTCTGAACATTTCCAACTTGTTCTCTGATTTACTTAAAACATTCAAGACTACTTGTCAAGTTACATCAGGCTGATAATTGGGGCCTCGTGTTGGAGATGAGTGTGTCCTTGTCTGTCTGTCCATCCGCACTTTCATTTCTGGAGATTATCTCAAAATCAAAATATGAATCCTTTTTGAAATTTGCCTTGGCAATACACTGAGATGTTGATGTGCAGTAGGCCTTTAATAAGTTTCTTAGGTCAAGAATTCATCAGTTTGGTATGAATAATAAATGCTAAGTTTGTTTTGAAAACTAACAGTAATTGAAAACTTGTTTTGTGATCTTTCAAAAACATCTGTTCCTTTCTTAAGAAAGAGTGCAAATCACCAATGTCTCGACTCTAAACCACTGAAAACAAATAAGTTTTCAATAACTGTTTGTGTTAAAAAAAAACTTATCATTCACCACACTGGATGCTAATTCTCACAACAAACCATTCCAAATGCTTCTCATTACAGAAAAATCATACCCGATTCCTACCACTACATGAATTGCCACACTGGATGATTAACACACACTGAACACCACACCAGATGATTTGCACAACATGAAACGCCACACCAGATGATTCACGCACACTGAATACCACACCAGATTATTTGCACGCTAAACACCTTACCAGATGGTTCACGCACACTAAACACCACACCAGATGGTTCATGCACACTAAACACCACACCAGATGATTCACGCACACTTAACTCCACACCAGATGATTTTCGCACACTAAACACCACACCAGATGATTCTCGCACACTAAACACCACACCAGATGATTTACACAACAGACCATATGCATTCCAGATGTTTCTCATAACACACCACACAAGATGCTTCTATCAAACACACTCTAAAAACTGGTGAAAAATTAGGTGATTGATGAAGTGAATGTTTCAGAGTTTTATGATATGGAGTGTATGTAAATATACAAAGTTCAAATCTACCTTGGCTCGTTGAACAGAGATGCCATTTTAGAGTCATGAAATTGATATAATAACAGAAATTGCTATAAGTGGTTATGTTAAGTTAATTAAACTTGTATTCATTAATTATGTCTCCCCTTCGAATGAAGGGAGACATATTGTATTAGTGCTGGTTCTTCTTCTTCTGGTTCTTCTAATTGCAACTTGTCTGGGCCATTTAAACCATTAGAGATATCTTGATGAAACTTGAGGTATGCATGCATTACCCACAGAAGGTGTGCAGTGCACTGGAATTAGGTCACTGTGACCTTCACCTCAAGGTCAAAGAAGTGCAACATTTTCAGTAATTTCTTGGTCGGCCTGTACATTTTTAACCGTTGAAGATATCTTAATCAAACTTGAAGTATACTTACATCACCCACAGAAGGTGTGCAGTGCACTAGAATTAGAGTTATGGTCCTTTGTTTATTTTGAATACCGAAATTTGTCCGGAGCATAAGTTCTATGTTATTTCACCTACGTTGACCAAACTTACCATATTTATGTATCTTGGGAAGGTGGAATCTCTCGCACTGAAATCAGGTTTTGTGCTGCATTAAACAGAGTGTTCACAAAACAAGTAATATAGTTAAATAATATAATACTAACTATCCTTAAATGTGACTGATCTTTTTCACCTTTACCCATGTACATATATTGACATTTTACATGTTAACCTTCCTCTTATCTTGTTTACATAGAACCTGTTTGTTTAAAAACTTTGTTTTATACAATGACCTTGTTCAAGGGATCTCATTTCCATAGACCTTGTTCAAATTACCCCTTTCACATAGACTCCTTAGTTGCATACCTTGTGCATTATAGATCTTTTAAATTTTGTTCAGTTCATTCATTTGTTGCTATGTTACATGATATTACTGCTGTTGTTTTACAGTCAATTCTGTCTGTGATAGTGCTGGCTTTGTGTAGTGTGATCAACATTGTATGTCTGATACTAAAGCAGAGGAACAGCCGATATCGACCTGAGTCACAGAACTCCCTAGACTCAGACAGTACAAGAGACTCCACAAATCTCCAGCGTCAGAAGACACGCAGAAAAGTGTATAAGCCATCTACCCGGGTCAGATTGCAGTCTGACAACAGTGCAGCTGGTAGATTTGTGTCAGTGAGTGTCCAAGCTGATCTAGAAAGCATGCCTGGCAGTGGGTTTAGCAACAATGGGTCATTAAGTGCCAGTGGCTCATTGAATGTGAATACAGAGTGTGAGAGACAGCAAAGAGAAAACAAAAAGGACTGTGATACCTGTACCGGCGGATGTTACCAAGGTAAATGATGGGTGGGGGTTGTTGTCAACAGATCTATTTGTTAACCATAAGGAAAATTAAAATCCCCACAGATATTTGCATTAAATTCGTATTTTATGAACTTTCATAAAAAATGTCTCATACTTATCCATATCTTTTAAACATACATCACAAACTTGTTTATCCCCTGCAACGAAAGTTTGAGGGGATATAGGATTCAGCCTGTATGTATATGCGTATGTTTCACTCTTTGTCATCACTCTAGCTACTTTATTGCTCAACATAATTTCATGAAATTTCATTCAAGTGTTTGGTATGGCAATACCTTGAACAATGTTGCATTTCAGGTTTTTTCATTGTAGGTCAAGGTCACTGTTACTATGTAGGTGGTTTCTTGTACAGGTTCAGTTAACATTGAAATAATTGTATTTGCGAGTTTTAAAAGTGGTCTCCTAACACAGTTCTCTCAAACTTTAGATAAAGACTTTGAGGACATAGTGCCGTTCCCCAGTGAGAGAGACAACCTACTGTCCTCAGAGACCTCTTCAACCAGTGATACACCTTCACTTCAGGAGAGCCTCGAGGATAAAGTTTGTAAATACGGCACCTGTAACCAGGACCAGAGGCAAGCCTGCACCCGATTGGTCCGATCTTATCACGCAGACACGGCTCTCATCCAATCAGAAGAGTCAGGTGTGACAATAACAAAGAAGTACACATCCAAGTCCAAAGATAATTTCCAGAGTGGGAAGTTTATGATCCTGTTGATTTGTAGCCAAGTGTCAATGACAGTGGTGAGTTGTTGGTTGGTATTTCTAAGGGATTCTAGTCCTATAAAGCCAGAACATTGAGTATTTGTTGGTGTTTCTAAGGGAACCTATAGTCCTATAAAGTCTATTACATTTGGCATTTAATTCTTTATTTTGTGTCCAATGATAGGTAAAACATGTACTACGGTAATTTTATGTATTATTAGCTCACCTGGTCCGAAGGACCAAGGTGAGCTTATGCCATACCATGGCGTCCGTGGGTCGTACGTCAACAATTTCTTTAAACGACTTCTTCTTCTTAACCACTGGTTGGAATTAAATTAAATTTGACTGGAAGCATCCCTAGGTGGTTGGGATTCAAAATTGTACAAATGGTGGGGCCGACCCCCCAGGGAGCTGAGGGGCGGGGCCAAAAGGGGGCAATTTGCCCATATTGCTTTAAGCGACTTCTTCTCTGAAACTAAGAAGTGGATATCAACCATATTTGACTGGAAGCATCCCTAGGTGGTGGTTATTAAAAATTGTACAAATGGTGGATGCTGACTCCCCAGGGGGCTTAGGGGCGGGGCCAAAAGGGGGCAAT